TTTGCTTTTTTTTTTTCCTTTATTTTTTCTCTTCTTTATTTTTTCGTTCATTTCTTCCATCCTTTCATTTATTTTTTTCTCTTTTTTTTCTTTTCTTTTTTTTTCCTTTTATTTATTTATTCTTTCTTTTCTTCCTTTCTTTTTTCTTTCATTTACTTTTTCTTTCTTTTTTTTCTTTCGTTTATTTTCTTTTTCCCCCTTTCCTTCCCCCTTTCCTTCCCCCTTTCCTTCCCCCTTTCCTTCCCCCTTTCCTTCCCCCTTTCCTTCCCCCTTTCCTTCCCCTCTTATCTTTTTCTCCCTCCTTACTTCCACCGATTTGTTTCCTTCACTTCATTTTCCCTCACTGACTCCACTCAGTTCCTCCCCCCCCATTCCCTCACTTCACCATTACCGTCCCCCTCCATCTCCCTTTGCCCCCTCCCCACACCCAGCAGCAGCTCCCCCTGGGATATCGCCTTGTTCCCAGAGCCCCTTGGGGTTCCCTGCTGCCTGTTGGGGTGATGGCAGTGGGTTTTGAGCCCCAAAATGCAAATTTCAGGGGAAACACCTTTGGTTGCACAGCGATGCTGCGACGAACATCGGTGTAAAGCAGCTCCTGGAATAGGAGAAGGCGAAAGTTGCTCCTGAGTTCTTTCCATGCAGGGCTGCAGGGAGGCTGCTGCTGGCACGGTGCGATCTGAGGCTGTGGGATTTTGGGGTGTGCAGGGGCTGCTCCTCCTCCTGGCATGGGGACAGGGATGCGGGAGGGCTGTGGGTGTCGGGATGGGGGTGCTGGGCCATGGCATCGGGTGTGGGTGTTGGGGTGTGGATGTTATTGGGGGATGCAGATGTTGAGGGGTGCTAATGATGTTGGGGATGGAGATGTTGGGATGTGGATGCTGGGCGTGCAGGTGATGTAGGGTTTCAGGTGTTGGGTTATGTAGGTGTTAGGATGCAGGTGATGGTGGGGATGCAGATTTTGGGGGATGCAGAGGTTATTGGGGGATATGGGCGATGTTGGGATGCTGATGTTTGGTGCAGATGTTATTGGGGATGCAGATGATGTTGGGATGCTGATACTGGGGGATGCAGATATGGGGGTACAGATTATGATGGGGTGAATGCAGATGTTATTCGGGGTTGGAGATGTTGGGGGTGCAGATATGGGGGTATACATGCTGGGGATGTGTGTGATGTTAAGGTGCAGATATTGGGATGCTTGTCAACTACTTGTTTAAA